CCCCCCACCCCCCCCCCCCCCCCCCTGTTGAGAAGACAGAGCAATACAACATTGAGTGGTCGGGTGGACCGAAGTCCTACGAGTCGCCAGACGACCGCTAAGCGCGGCAGAAAACAAGAAAAGAAGAAAAAAGTTTGAGAGGATGGGTGAGCAACATTCGCGATCACATCCCGTGGGGGCGTGCTGGCCACCGGGATCCGGCGATCACAACCCGCTGGGGCAGGACTCCACGGACAGCCAGAAGTATTGTGTCGATGCAAGAAAGGCGCCACACACGACGGGAAGCATGTGCGTGAGGTCCGACTGTTAACTCTTCTCGCGGCTTCGTGACTCCCGGGGCGGGGAACTAGGCTCGGCTACAACCCGAGATACTGTGTGCAAAATGCACGTCGCGGCTACTCCGCACCACTGAACTCACATGCATGGTGAAGAGCAAGTTTGCGTGGCATGTAACACGTGGTAGAAAAGAAGGACGCTGCCAGTGGTATATGAGTGGGGCTGAGTGGGGGGATCTCCAGTGTATGCACATGCATGGTTGCCGCGTGCGTTCTGCTAGCTATATGTGGTTTTGCGGTGACCACTAATTCATACTGCCCGTTCGATAGCGAGCCGCTTTGATTTTGCGTGGTTTCGCTTGCAGGCCTGTAGCGGGCTCCAGTTTTTCGGCCAGACATGCCGAGCTTCAGGGGCTTGAGCTGTGGCATGCAACCACGGAAGCTTCCCAAATCAGGTCGCTCGGGAGGCACAGCGTGCTGGCCACAGCAAAATCAAGATCATGGACGTGTACCCAATCTCTTGCATTCGCCTCGGTGCTGTTGCCACCGAAGGACCGCAAGTCAAGCACGGACCGAACTCCAAGCTGAGGCCACACCGGAGAGGGTGTGAAGGCTGTGTCAGCTCCTTACTGGCGGCACCTCGTTATCGCGCGATTTTGTATTGCATTCGAGGTCTCAACTTCTGGAGCAAAACAACACACCTGCTGAGCACTATGTCGTGGGAGCTGCCAATGTGGCCCGTGCACGTTTAAGTCGTTTGTGCGGGCGAGTTCCGCCTTGCTGCGCAGAATCATGTTCCCAAGGCTGGAAAATCCTCGCTACTTAACCGCTTGGCTCTTCGTAAGCGCCGTGGAGTGGGCCGAGTAGCTGCCGAGGCTGTCTTTAAGTACTTCAGCTCTTGCAAGACGTGTCCCAGACCATGCCCGGGAGTGGTTTGCAAGTGACAGGATCAGAGAGGGTTCGTTGTCAGCGTGCTACCCGGGACCACACTCCGCCCGATCTCAATGAAGTTCCAGCTGGGCAACACGCATGTGGCCAAGATTCTGGACAAACCCGGAGGTGTTGTTGGTCGTCACACTGCACCACCCTGGCGGCATGCGTTTGAGGAAGCTCGTTGATATGCCTGGCCTGCTGGTTCCTGGAAGCATGGCCGAACGCTTAACTCTGGAGGACATTGTCTGTCGTTTCGCAATGTAGTATAGCTGGGATTCAAACTTGGTTTTGGTCTGACCATGCTGGGCTTTGGGAAAACACACAATGCGAAGGAAGCAGGCAGAGGGGCATCAAGCCAGGGAAAGCCAGGGCTTTTTGTCAGACCACCTCTGCAAAACGCAAGTAACTCAGCTTTGTATTCTATCGTGCACTACTCCAAAGTCTGAAGCTTGCTAAAGTGGCAGCACGTACAAGCACGCGCGCACTGTCAGCAATATTGAACCGTAGGGGCTTGAGCTGTTTGTCCAGTAAGGCAGCATTTTGGTGGCTACTGTCTTGCCTTCTTCGAAAAAGTGAAGGAGCACTGTTAGCTGTCCAAGCCCGACATACCCAGGAGCGCCTTTGAGGCTCCCGAAATGCACACCAGATCAATGTGGCACGAGCATGGTTTCTCACACCGACGACTAGAACGCGACTCATCAAGTGTGGGCTCGCTAGATCCCGTTTCAGGTTTGGCGCGACTTTTCTTGCTAGCATGCATGGGGACCGGATGCAAAAGGATGGTTTTGAGAAATCTGGTCCCGGTCCCGTGCGAGGTGTGCATGCCCGCGTGTGGGCGCGTGTGTGCGCGTGTGTGTGCGCGTGTGCGCGCGCGCGCGCGAGCGCGCGCGCGCGCGCGTGGGTGTGTGTGTGTGTGTGTGTGTGTGTGTTTGTGTTTGTGTGTGTGTGTGTGTCTATGTACGTGCACGTGTGGTGTGTGTTTTCCTAAACCCAAAGACCCGAAACCCAAAGTTTCATTTTCGGACGTTCGAGTTTTGTGTTAGGGGCCAGGGCAGACCCCACATTGCAGCGGGAGGGTTCTACTCTGTGGAGTGGCTCTGGCTCCGAGCGACAGAGAAAAGACAGAAAACAAGGCGCTGGAGCAGGGTTGGGGCTGCTACTGTTACTGTTGATGGACAAAATTCTGCATGACCCAAATATAGTATAGCACCATAAATCCCATAGTTTAGGTATATAAGGTCATGCAGGATTTTGTCCATCAGCCGTATGTTGTGGGCTTTTGGTTATTGGCCTTTGCCACGGCGGGGTTCTTACATCCAGGCTTTGGTGTTTCGGCCTCTGAACTTCAGGTTGTTGGGTTTCTGGCATCGCTTCAGGGCATGGGGAGATTTACATGTTTGTAATTATGGGAGATGCAAAGGTACAGGAAATTTGGCAAGACGTGTTCTACAGAGCTGCAGTTCACAGCTTAGGGCCAAGGATCTGTCGATGACCCTCCTCTGCAAGGTTGGTGTCAGCTTTTGCCTTCCTTATGCTTGAGTTGGCCTCCTACTCGCGCGATCAGAGCACTTCCAACGTAATGAGGCTTCAATACAACCATCAGCTACACGCATTGCATTTTTACTGCAGCATCGCCATTTGGTTGCAGATAATTACACCGCAGGCTCCCCCATCTTCGCATCGCCACTCCGCCTTACCAGAGTTAATCCGCAGTGCACTCCCAAATCTGCGAGCAATGAAACCTTACATTCCTCCCCCTCCCCCAAACTTCCCCGAAGGCTCGATCTCGACTTCTTGTTGAGCCATTGGTACGGCTGCTATTCTCATGATATCACAAGTGGTGTCATTGCCCACCAGGAGGTCACAGACCATGTTGGGGTTTTATGAGCTTAGGGTTTGCTTATGCATGCCATTCGTGTTTGGTATTGACAGCACTGGCACGGGTACTCGGATTAGTCGTATCAATGTTGCTATGCTTGCTAACTAGCGGGTTGCTGATTTGTATTAGTTCTGGCAATAGTACTGGGAGCAGCAGCAGCAGCTCTGACGATCTGCAGACTGTTGGACTCCGTTGATAGCCTCCAACCACTATGTTCAGGTTGCGAAGTTTCCAGTAAGTGCTAGCGCTGCTAGACGCAGACCTAACGAACCCCCAGTGTGGACCAGGACGCTGTCTTTGAAGACGGCACGACAGATGAACGGCGATGTTGATTGCGGGCCTAGTGACTTTCAGAATTGTGGCTTGTTGTGTGACATGCCTATGGTCCCCGTAATGCAACGAAGTCAGGAGCTAGGTCCTGGGTGAGGGCTCATCTGGTCTGTAGGTGTGGCGCGAGTAATGTGACTTGTCTTGGAGACCATGCCTGCAACCTTTACAGGAAAGCCCCGCGATATGCGGGCAGAAGCCCTGAACCCTATGTAAACCTTCAGTATCCTTCAATTCCCAAGCGCAGGAGCGGTGCAGGACTTGGATCCGGAAAGATATCTGTAACATAGCTTGCTTGATCCATTGCTCGATTTGATCTGGCGGCTCTTTCAAACAGTAAGTAAAGAAGCTGAGGCACGGCATGCTACGCTAAACCCCGAAACCCCACACCTCAAAAGCCTGAAACCCTGAACAACATTTTTTTCCTTGCCTGGTGTCCTTTAGGAGGTGTTCCCAGGAACTCCCGTGTAGAACACTCGTCGAATTAGCAGCCAGCTACCGCCCTGTTTTTCGTTGACATTTTTCCGGCCGCTCCGACTGATGTATGGGCTTTAATGATTAGAATTTTGGGGCCCATTACAGTATACTGTAATTATAAAGGGAGGAGCCCACCAAAATAATATGGGCAATTTTTCACACCCCTACATTACCATTGTTGTCGACTCTTGGAATCCTGGAACTCCATTGGACTTTGGGTGGGGGTTGTGCTGCAGAACGCACGTTGTCAGCTTGGGAAACCGTGCAGTACAGTGTAGGTGGCGGAAGAAGATGTCGAAGTTATCAGTGTCGTATATTGGATGGGATCAAGCGTCGGGGTCCATGAGCGGTGGGTTTGAGATTCAGGGTCTGTGTTTTTCGGGCACAGGAAAAGTGGAAGTAGATCGAGCAATGGGTTTCGCTCGTAGGGAGTCTCTTCGGCATGCATTTAGTGCATGCCAGAGATCGGAAGACTCCTCTCAGCCACCAGCACCCTAAACACTAAAGTCACTAGATTCTTAAATTACACCTTGACCACGTCAGGGCTTTGGGTCTGAATGCTGTGTAATAAGATTCCCTTACAGTCACTATTCAACTATATCCTAATATACATCAGGAACCTATTTTTTCAGGCCCTAAGATTACAGTATCTTCATACCGTAGCTCTGAAGGACAGAGCCTGACATCTATGCTAGGGCTTGAGGGGTTGAGGCGCTCTTTAGGGCGTTAGGCTTCCAGCTGATCCTAGCTAGTATTTAAATTTAAGTTTAGGGTTATTTATGGATGTAAGATTTAGTATTTTTATTTAAGTTCAGGGTATAGGGATGTAAGATTTAGGAGAAAAAGTCTAGGGACAACTGCTTTTTGCCGATGGCTTGGGAGGTGGATAGCCCCTGGGAATCAAGACGATTCTCCGAGCACCCCATTTGTCGACCGGGAGCATAAGTTTCCAAGTGCAGCATGTTGCGCTCATCCTCTAGCAGACGAAGGCCCCGATATTCTGATGAACCAATCAAATCTCCCAGTTGACCCTTTGAGCCCGAACAGCTTGACTCTCCAAACCCGACCTAGAGCCTAAACCCTAAACCTTAAACCATTAAACCTTAAGCCCTAAACCTTAAATCCTAAACCCCGAACCCGAAACCCGAAACCTCAAGCACCTCAACCTAGTTTCAGTCTTTTGACCTGCAGCATCTTTATCGAGCACTCGGCCGGCACGGCAAGACCGTGGTTGTCTCACCCACCGGCTAGCATGGCTCTCCCCAACCCGCCAAATCTTATCCTTATGCCCTAAAGTGGGACAAGCGCCCCAAACAATCGAATTTCCAAGAGTGCCCTAAACCCTAAACCCTAAACCCTGAGAGTGTCATGACTGTGTGGCCGGTCGCAGCAGTACCACTGCGTTTGATAACAGCCGTGCGCCCGGGCGTGAGGGTTTGGTTTTGGGGGGGGTTTAGGGTTTTGGGGGTTTAGGGTTTAGGTTTTGGGGGTTTTGGAGGCCCCAAGTTATCTTTCCCTAAGGGTTCATGTACCCAAATAGTAGAAACTTTGGCTTCAAAGTCGTGCCTGTGTAGGTACTTTTGGGGCTAAAGCATAGACTGTTTGGGTGCATGGACCCTTAGGGTTTGGGTGTTGGGGTTCAAGGTCTTAGTCCAGCATAGCGCAGTATAAGGGGCCCCAAAACCCTCTTCTGATTGTTAAGGCCCCTATGTCAGGGCACAGGGCCACGATTGAGTCCATGGCGTGGAAGCGTGCATCCCTGATCCTTCAATCAGTGGCATTTCCGGCAAGTAAATCCGGATTCATGCGTGTTTACGTTCGACATAGACCTTGACATAATGGTCGACTCCTTTCTTGCATCTTCTGCACAGGGGTAGTTCTCTAAATTAGGGTCCCGTTTAGGGTCCATTGTATAAGAGTGCCGTACTATATTGGGGACCCAAGACGGGACCCTAACTTAGAGAACTACCCATATAAGTCCGGGGCCCTGGGTTTGGGGTTTTGGTTTTGAGTTTCGCATGGTGGGGCCATTTGGGGTGCATGGTTACTAATCACTTAAGCCGCTCAGCCCCGGACCCAAAACCTCGCAAGCCTGAATCCTAAAATCCCAATCTTTTAGGGTATAGGGGTTTATTTAGGGTTTAGGGTTTAGGGTTTAGGGTTTCGGGAATCACACACACTTCACTGTCTGTTAAGCAGCTCATCCACCAACACCCAACCCCTCAACACATAATTAGATCACAAATCAAAACCCACAAGCCTCAAGCCCTGGACCCCAAAGCCCAATTCCCAATCAGTTGGCGCGACAATTGACAAACATGTCTGATGCCCGCTGGGCTCACAGAGCGAAACTGTGCCAGCCAACCGAAGCCTTAAGTACATCCCTCCCCGGCACCCCCCCGGCACTGAAATCCGATACCCTAGACTCTAGCCAAGCAAACCTGGCATGCCCCCCCCTAATTAACCCCTAAACCCAAAGCCCCTAAACCCCTAAACCCAAAACCCTGAACCCCTAAAACCCTAAACCTAAACCCTAAACAACTAAGCCGTCTTCGGGCGGATTTAGGGCTCCGGGTTCCTCAATGACCTTGCACCAGCTCACCCATCAGTTATCAACACCCCATACCTTTACACGTCATGCGTGGTTTAAAGCCCTAAACTCTAAACCCTAACCCGTTTTAGGGAGAGGAAGCTCAGATTCGAAGCTCCAAGTTTGCACCATGCCGAGAGGATTCTTGGAACAGCCTAGATTGCTCTTTTCCAAAAGCCTTGACCACGGCCCCCTGAACACCAAACCCTTTGTCCTATCATCCCGGCTGAAGCATCTTTTGCGCCGAGCTCTTATCAAAAAAGAAATCTCAGAAAGCTCCAAATTGAAACGATCCCCACCGCCCGTCTAAAAATCACTCCTTCTGGCGGAAGAGCAGATGCCTGGAATGACACATGGCCTACCCTGGGGATTTCGAGGCTGCTACGGGGGTTTCATAAGGGTTTACAGCCTAAGGGATGAGATTCAGGTACGGCGGAAATAAATCCTTGCTCCATCTTGCAGGAAACCCTACGCCTCCAAAGTCTCGCAACAACCCAGAAGCACAATGCTACATTGAACCGAGGGTTTAGGGTTAGTCAGACCAGACCATGAAGGAGTCGGGGCACTGAGACTCACTGGGCAGGTCTTTGCTTTTGCAACTTATGAGATTCGAGGTTTGAATCTTCGCAGCTGTTAAGGGGCCTTTGACGGTGTGCTCGGATAGATAGGCATGTGTGTATGCATGCATGCCTGCATACATGTGTTCTGGCATGCATGGATGCCAGAGGGTAGCTAGGTAGTCAGGCAGGTGTTTGTGTTTTTGTGTTATATATATATATATATGTATATATGGAGAGAGAGAGAGAGAGACAGACAGACAGACAGACACAGAGAGAAAACACAAATCATGTATGTGTGCAGAGTCAATACTGCAAGCATCTACGCAGCATGCCACACTCTAGATGAAATCTTATTTGAACCCAGGACCCCGTTGCCAGCGGCTAGCGGCCTTTTTCAAGTGCAGTGAAAATCCTATACCCTATCTCTCAGGGGGCTTAAGGCTTGCAGCAGTGGATGGGGCTTGATGCTTCTGTTTCGTATGCTGCCCTATCGACACCGAGGGTCATTCTGGGTCGATCGCTACATGCCGAAGGACTTCGTCAAGAGTTTGGGGCGAGGGCCGAGGGGACTCATGCTGACATATACTTATCGAGTATAACTAACATCTCGTTATAATATAAGCCTGAGGGGTGGTTGCATGTGGTTCATGTGGGTCTAAGAGGCTTAGGGCAAGGCGACGTATATCATGACTCTGATTCCTCGATGATTGCCCGCCCTTGAAATCGCGTTGATGCCGACTCCATGTAAGTGCCCCAGCTTCCAGAGTTGCAAAGACAAAAAGACGAGCAAGTTCCGAACATGCCGACAGTTCAGCATCCGAATCTCCCGAAGCCCCCATAGAACACGCCCCTGAATCCTCTAAACCCTAAAACCTGTCCTGAAAACAAAAAGCCTAACCCTAAACCCCTAAATCCTATAAATCCTAAACCCTATAAGCCCTGAAATCCCAAAGCCTGAGCCCAAAAGCAGGCAGAAGCCGAAGAGGAGCTGCGAGGCTACCTTGCGCCCCATCAGCGGCAGTCCCAGGTTTCCAAGAGGGTCCATATATATATATATATATAGAGAGAGAGAGAGAGGATATATAGATAGAGAGATATATATATATATATAGGATATATGTGTGTATATATATATATATATAGACTACTATTATGGCATTAGGTCCCCAAAGCCGTAATTAATAGGGATGGTCTTTTGGGACCTACTTGCATAATGGTAGTGTATATGGACCCTCTGGGTTTTCTTTTCGGAGCTTTCAAATGCCGGTAGGTAGCAAAGATGACTGCCTCGGAACAGATACACATCACACATCATACGATGTGGGCTGTTGTCACCACTTGGGGTGTTTTTCGGGTGCTGCTTAGTAAGTTGTTGTATGAAGGTCCCTCATTCTCTGAAACCCCATGTCTGAAAGTTCTCTGACGCATTCTGATGGGGGTCCAGGTTTCTTGGCACTTGCTGACTTTGAGGTGCTTTCTTCTTGCAGTCCCCGAAAGCGAGCCGAAACCCAAACTGCAACCCCTAAAAGTTAGATTTCTCGGGAACAGGAAGACTACAGCCCCCGCTTGTTGAATGCTCTTCCACGATTCGTAGATTCCTGAATACAGCGAGACCCCTGCAAGAGGTCCATATGGTTGATGAAAAACGACACATCGCGGTCTTTCGCATCGGGGTGTGATGAGAGGGAGAGGCCACTCTCCCTATTGTTAGTACCCTAGATCCCTAAACCCCACACCGAATGGCGCAAGAACCTGAACTCGAAGAAGCCGTGCCATATCGTTTTCTGCCGAGCTTGTACACCCAGATTCAGGTTGGGGCTTGGGGTTCAAGGTGTCTCCTGACCCGGTAACTTCTCCGACCCGTCTCAAACCACGCTCCCTTCACTGCATGCAACACTACATTCGATGGGCCTTATAGGTACCCAAGACTTCGAGATTATTCTTAAGGTCCATGTAATCGAGCAGCAGGGCGTCAGGTCCCAATACTAGACTCTGAATGTCTCTTGGCTAGAACCCCTAAACATCCCTATAAAAATTCGTACAGGTCTACCCTAAACCCTAAACTCTAAACCCTAACCCCTGAACTCTAAACCCTACACCCTAAGCCCTAAGCTTAAACCCTAAACCCTAAACTCGAGCTTTTGGTTTAGTGCAGGCCGACTGGCTGAGACTTTTCATGCGGAGAAAGTCCCGTTGCACTTTAAAAAAATCTAAACCCTATAAACCCTAAACCCTATACCCCATAAACC